TGATTCATGTACGCTATATGGGGGTTATTTCATGTATGTTATATTTGCAGCAGCAATATTTCTTACATGCTCACAGCAGCATGTTGTGGATGTATTGGCAGTAGCAAGTCTCGGTACTTGCTCTGCCGCAGCAGCAGCAGCAGCGTAACAGATCTGTTCCGCCAAGACCAAATACATTAATATTGTCATGTACACTACCATGCCAATCCCCCCGTGAAATATATTTATGCAATCAAATATATTCAAAAATATATATTTACTTACCATTATTGACTGATAAATCTAACATTAAATAATCTGGCATTATTCCTATTCACCAATTAGGCAACAAAATATTGCATGTTATGTCAGTGCCGATAGCCTCGTGGGCAGTGCGCTGACATACTGGCATCCTGAGTTCGAGTCTCGGCTCGCGGACCTTTCCTGATCCCGTCCCCCTCTCTCTCTACATACTGTCTCAATAAAGGCTATAAAATGCCAAAAAATAAATCTTTAAAATATTGCATATTACTCCACAGCTTCACCATTTTTGACAAATTGGAACAAACATGTTCAGACCTCATATGCATTTTTTTTAAAATAGGAGAGTATGAGTTCTCCCTGTGTTAAAAGCATATATACAGTAACATTTTGTAATGTTTTTTAAAGTGGTCTTTTATGCTCACCATGCTACAATTATTTCATTAAAATACGGTAATATTATTATAATTTAAAAGAAATGTATTCTCTTTTAATATATTTTAAAATATAATTTATTCCTGAGATAACAAAGCTGAATTTATACTGTTTTATTATAATTATAAAATTATTATAAAAATATTGTTTTATAATAATGAACCATACAAATCATGAACCATATGTATGAACCATACAAATCAGCATTCATATCATGTTTGACTGGTGAACACTGTATTTGTAGAAGATTTATATTAATCATGTTATCTCTCTTTTCATTTGATCATATTATGATTGGAAGCCTCAAGGTTCTGCCATTTCTCTATCCATCAATTAGCTGATTCCTCTGAAGGCGAGTCATCACTGTAATGGAGTAACATCGACTGCTCCTGTAGTCCTCTTACGCCACCAAATCTCGGAGCCATTTGATTCAATTGAGTTTTAATTGGGCGTAATGCACTTCCATTTGGATTTCATTAATTGCATTTAGTGACCCGGTCCAATAGACATTAGAGCAGTGCACACACACCCTTCAGGCTGTAATGAGTGTTTATGTTAATGGTCTCTGAATAAGGGCTTCTGCCCCGATGAGATCTCTTACCAGCATGAGAATCAGTCAGTGAGAATGTGTTGGTCTGCCAAGTCTGCAGGGCACGTGGGTATTGGGCGAGTAAATATCAGACAAAATTAGACTTTAGATGTCCTCACTCCTGACAATGTTACAGCTAGCGAAGAAACACCTTTGAATGAGCAGCCCCTGAAGTCAAGGCAATTAGGGAGTAAATGTCAAGGATCAAACATGCATGATACCGGGGCCACATGTCTAGCTTGTTTATTCGCCTGCGCAGGTGTGTTTTACCAGAGGTCTCTGATGATATAGTGTTTTGCACTTCGTTAAAACGCAAATGCTTCCCTGGTTACTCTAACTGATGGATGTTTCACCTTTTCTGCTGGGTAAAACATTTAATTGGCCATTAATTAAGCTGAAAAACGCCATGAATTTTTCAGCTAGCCCCTTAGCAGAGAGCAGCATCAAATAAAATGTTGCTGCACACTGCTGCCCGTCTAACTTCTTTTTGGTGGCCCATTTATTCCCACAATGTTCTGGATTTAAAATGTGTTTCTTTTAAGTATTACCATTGTGTATGAAATGTGCTATACAAATAAACTTGCCTTGCCTTGCCTTGCCTAAGTCCTAGGTGCATTTTTAGGGAGTAATAGTGGTTTGATGCGGGACGTGTCCTTCCTTAAATGTTCAAATGAAACTTGTGCTGCTCTGAGGCAATATATTTGGTAAATGTGCATGGATGACTTTCTGTGCTGGGTAAAATAGCTTTCATATTCTGCTTAATGTTGAAAGTCCTCTATGTTTTTCACCCCTCGCCATTTGCCACCTATGAAAAGGTGACAAACAATATAGTGTTCACATTGAACATGAGCTAAAAATCTGACAAAGGATATTTGCTGCTCTCTTAGATTTCAAGATGACAGACAGTGAAACTCAATAAACACTCCCGTAGTCCGCCTCTGCCTCTTCCATTTGCCATATGGCCCTATTGCCGTTCTCCGCCAATTCTGAAATGAAGCATTATTGCTGTCCTCCGGTAACTGCGTCTGAGCCAGATTCTTCTTCTCTTTTCATCAGAGGGCCCATTTTGGTGCCTCACAGCAACAGTGTGTCTTTGAACATTTCTTTGCACAGTTGCTGATGTCAGTGTACTATAGTATATAAAAATATGGACATTTATATTATTATAAATGCACATAAATACAAGAATATTCATTTGTTTTTTACAGGGTCTTCCTGGACCACCTGGTGAGAAAGGAGAAAATGGAGACGTTGGTCCTATGGTAAGATGTTTTAACCAATTATTAACTATAGTTTTTTTTTGTTTTTTTTTATTGTTGTTTTTTTTTACTGCCTTTGACATGACTTATAATTTAAATATGACATTACAGGAAAGAAAATTGTTCTAATCAAGCCTTTAAGGGTTCTGTTTATTCCTGTGTTATTTTGCTTTTAATTTTATTTTGCCTTTATATATTTCTTTTATATTAATTAATTTTATTTTATTTATGTTTTAACCTACAACTATTAGTAGTCTCCTTTGTCTCTCTTCTTATTTCACCACAGGGTCCACCTGGCCCACCTGGTCCCAGAGGTCCTCAAGGTCCTCCTGGTGCTGATGTAAGACCATCTCTCAACACTGAACATTTTTCCCATCAGCAAATCCATTAAATTACACCTCTTTAACAAAATGGCTATAGAGTTAATGGTTTTCACGCATGCCTCTTCACAAATCGACTTCTTTTATTGAAGGGTCCACAAGGTCCTCCTGGTGGAATAGGAGGAATGGGATCTGTGGGTGAGAAGGTAAGAATATTCCCAGCTCCAGTGTTTATTCCCAGAAATATGGTGTCTATGGTCTTGTTTCAAATCTCTGTTACAGACTTCATTAATTTATTATTCGTGTCATCCTTTTGTCTGAACTAGTATAACAAAACGATTAATGCCTACATTACCGCAGTTCTGATAATAGCCCTACATTTCACTGCTATTTGGCAGGTCCACAGGCCATCAATATTTAATGCTGAGGCTGGCTATGGAGATGAATTTAGAATATGTAACAGGTCACTATAATGCTACATCCATTAGGAGCTGAATGTTATGTCCACTATAGCCCAGACCAGATAAGCTAAGAAACAACCAGTAAACAACATGCAGCTTTATTTAGATACCACTACATATGATTCATTCCATTAGAGTCTACTTGACATCTCTGATCTTCAATCATAAGGGAAAGCAACAAAATGACAGTGCTACTAATTGTCTAAAGTTGAAGAAACTAGAGTTAAATTTGAAATTTCCAAATGGAAGTTCAACTTTAACTTCAGTATCATTCGTTTGCACTTTGCCTAGTAGAAAGCTGAAAATTCTGGCTTTTCGAGTCGAATGGAACATTGTTAACATTATACAGCACAATTATATGGTGTTGTGCAATACGTTATAACTAGTAATATCCTTAACAGGGTGAGCAAGGAGAAGCTGGGAACCCTGGACCTCCTGGCGAGCCTGGACCTGGGGTAAGTGAAGTTTTCAAGAGAGATCTGTGTGGTGATGCGGGTAATCACTTCCTGTAAGCTTCTCTGGATTTATTGATTGTCTCAAATTAAGTGGCCACACTAAGTGAGTCGCTAAATTGCAGGAATGATTCCAATAAAGGTCTTTCCTCTCATCATATAATGAAATGCTTAATACAGTGACATTTGAAATAAAATATTGCTCACACTGTTGTCAGTTTACTTTATATCATGAAAAAATCAAATTTCCCTTGAACTTTTAGAATAAAGGTGTGTTGTAAAAAAATATACTGTAACTCAAAATGTCCATTTATAGATAGTAAACTTGAAAAACAGCAACTTCATTTCTTGGATTTCTGACACCAGAAATACATGAATCTGTGACTTGTCCTTTAACACATTAGCAAACGGCTGGTATTGGTGTTCAGAAACCTTTATGTCACAAAAACCTTGAGTAACATTACAAGTGGACATCAGTGGAAAAAATCAGATGATTAAAGCTAAAAAGTTAACTTTGTTATTTATGGAATATCTAAATTACAGATGGAAATTCAGCCTGTCAAAATTCTAACCTGTCAATACTGACATGAATGGCTGATTAACTCTTCTGAATTGCTATATCAAAATGTAGAGCATGGCTGCACTCATTGTTCTCAGGGTGCTTTTGTTCATGGAGTGCCTCAGGGCTCTTTATTCGGCCCTTTCATCTTTGTTATATGTGCTGCAGGGCCCAAAAGGTGAGAGAGGAGAGAAAGGTGAAGCTGGTCCCCCTGGTGCTGCTGGACCTGCAGGTCCCAAAGGACCCCCTGGAGATGATGGACCCAAGGGTAATCCTGTAAGTGTAATACAGCTGGCATGAGATCTTATGAATGTATAAAGGCATGAAATGTTAGAAGCCTCTACAAGAGTGAGGTGAGCCTTACTGGAAAAAAAAATCTATTTTAGATGGATTATGCTGATTAAATAAGAGAAGTGAGAAGTGAAGTGACGTGTGGCCAATTATGGTGACCCATACTCAGAATTTGTGCTCTGCATTACACCCATCCAAGTGCACACACACAGTAGTGAACACACACCCGGAGCAGTGGGCAGCCATATTGCTGCGGCACCCGGGGAGCAGTTGGGGGTTCGGTGCCTTGCTCAAGGGTCTCACCTCAGTCGTGGTATTGAAGGTGGAAGAGAGCGCTGTACATTCACTCCCTCCACTGACAATTCCTGCCGGACCTGAGACTCGAACCCACAACCTTCGGGTTACAAGTCCGACTCTCTAACCATTAGGTCACGACTGCCCCAAATATGAGACTTACTCCACTAATTAGAAATTATTAAAGCATTATGTGTCTAAGATTAATAAAAGATTGTAATTCAATTGAAATGTTACCGTGCCTTCAACTGATAAATTTAGTTTTGTATGTCCTAATATTTGTTAAGGACATTAAGTACATACAGTAATAGAATTTAGTGTTTATGTTATTGACACATCACTCTGTTAAACCCGTGTTTTCAATCTGTTACTATAGGGCCCTGTTGGTTTTCCTGGAGACCCAGGTCCACCCGGTGAGCCAGGTGTTGCTGTAAGTGCCAAAATCCATCACTAAAAGTCCTGTAAATTATTATTATTTTTATTTTTAAAAATGGTCTGTTTCATGTATTTGCTATTGACTTTGAATGATTAAAAAGTCTTTGCAGTGTAAATAGTCAGCAAGACGTTTGCTCGTTTTTTCAATTGTCAATTTATTTGTCTCTGAAATTTTGTCTATTAAATTATCAGGGAATAGATGGAGGCCCAGGAGAAAAAGGCGAGGATGGAGAGTCTGGTCAACCTGTAAGTATTAACAATATTTAGGTGCAATACCTTTGACTATAGTTTATTAAAAAGTTACTTTTTCAATAATTTGTTTGTCTTCCAATACAATTTCCTGCTGTATGCATTAAATTGCAGAGCATTGTTTTTGCCTCTAGTGTAAGTATATATATACAGTACAGATAGAATAATAAACTGTTGTTTGATATACGGAAGTCAAACATAATTGCCTAAGCCTGCAGTGGCAGCCAATAAATTGCAGTCCTTATTAACATTTATTACAGTAATTTGGATTTTCCAGTGCAAGGAAATTGGTTAATTTACTGTTAAATTCAATGTATCTGAATCTGCAGGTTTACAAATGTGAGAGTCTCATTGTGAGGCCCATTTATAAGCTACACTTCTATGAAAATTTAATGAGGGGAGGTTTGTTTTGAGCAACAAACTTTCACAAAAATGCATACAGCTTCCCTTCTCTGATTAGAAGTTTATCATTTTAGAATCAAATCAATCACACAGCTGAATAATTTTGTCAAATTGTATCCATCCAACATTAGCATGCTTTTGAAACCCCAGTGTCTCTTAATTGTGTTCAATGAATTTCACAAAATTATAAAAGACAGTTTAGTTATGAAAAGTTTAAAGTCTATTATCTACAATAGGCTGGTTCAGTTGTGTTTCAGTTTTTGTTTCAGTTTCTTCCTTAACTCTGTTATAGGGACCTCCTGGTCCTTCTGGAGAAGCTGGCCCACCAGGACCTCCTGGCAAAAGAGTATGTATAGTCTTGATCACTATTATATTTTAAGCAGCATCCATTTAGCATATTGATCAGGTATTTTTGACCATCCTTGGCATGGAAAACAAGCCTTCTTAATGATCAATATTTTGTATTTTCCAAGGAATACTATTTCTATCTCAGAATGGAACAAATAAACTAAAACTGATATTTATTTATCGACTGAAGATTCTGACCTGTGCAAAACAGTCAAAAAAAAAGTTTTAAAGACATCCTCATTAGCACAGATGATCGGTTGCTTTTCACCCAGGGTCATACCATTCAACAGCAAACAGAAAAAAAGAAAGTCCTTCACAGGATGATGAATAGTGCAAAGTAAATTATCAGACTGAAATCGAAAACAGCATTTAAATGGCATCAGAGCCAGAACTCATTTCCTCCACTGCAGTCTGACATCTCTCTCAGGATGAAAGAAGAAAATCAGTCCAGACGTTATATTGATCCCGGGCCTGTTTGAGTGACAGTGATGAGGGGACGGCGGTGTAAAGGATGTTACAGAGGAAGAGGAAATATAACTCACATTTGGGACAGGAATTCGAAATCCTCTTCCACTGCCACATCAAGAGAAATTTGTTCTGCCAAATAACACCCCATTGCCTCTCAGAAAATAGTTGTTCCGCTAGTCACGGAAATACCACATATTTTTTTCCGGAAGGAAAAAGTAAACTTTTTCAATTTAGATTGTATTGAGGTGTTTCTCACTGCACTCTATCAAACCAGCAAGTGAAATATTATTATTTCCTCTTGTCTTGTGATACCAATTTTGCTGCATTTACACTGAACTTGCAGTAGACCCTTTGTGATCTTGATGCACAAAGTCATATAATCGTATTTTACATTTATTTAGCACATTTTAATGTGGAAAGCACAATGAAACATTTAACTTAAAGTTCTTATCCTTAGTTTTACTTGAAGTTAACCTATTTTATGTAATTGGCAATGGTTGGTTGACAGGTAAGTAGGCAGCCCTTGCCGTGGTCACGTGTTTCTGACGTTTAAGACCTTGTATCTATTTAGTGTACCAATTTTGACCAGATCAAACCAGGTGTAAATAACTGCTGTACCCCCATGGTAGTACTTTGGAGTATCTAGCGGTCACAGATCCTCTGGTAAAGACTCTTACTATATGGCAAACAGCCCTGGTTGAATTTTATTGGCCAGCCCAAGCAACACTGTGCTATCCCATTATTCCTCTATAAAGCTTAATGGCATCTCTTTGCACACACACATCCATTATTCATGCAAAATGTAGAGAAAACACCACTCGCTTTCCCAATATGCTTAATGGAGCTCTCTCTGGAAAAATTATACACCCTATCAGCATACGCGGATAGCAATGGCTGACGGACTGTAGCTAGAGAAACTGCCATTTCATCAGCTAAGGTGTTTTAATCCTGCAAGAGGAAGACGGTCGCAGGAAGACTCATCTTGTAGAATTAAGTCTCCTGCATCAATAATTCTGGCTAGAGCTTATTTTGCATCGAAGACAGAGGCATTCTGCTTTCTCAGCATTTTACCGACCGTGGTTGGAAATAAATATGGAGATTCCTTTGCTTATTCTCTCTCTGTTTGTTTCTTGCACTCTGTTCAGTCTTGGACCCTAGAGACAGTCCCTAGACTATTAACTATCTTGAGAATTATTGAATTTGGTGTCATTACTTCCTGCTGTCATTAGTTGATTTTTTCCTGCTCTTCATTAAATTAAAATCACACAGGGGAGTCGAGGGCAAATTGTCAAGCAGGTTTTATCTCAGTAACTATGTGCAGTATAAGGTCAAAAGTCCAATTAAACAAATGTATATTTTCTCTAGCAGTGGTTTTGTATGCTAGTTTCACACATCGAGTTCAAAACCAAGTTATTTTTTAATCATCCAACTAAAATTTGAATATTTTTCCAACCCTGTTAGGTAAACACTATCAAACCATGCTGACATTAAACAAGGTTCATATATATATATATATATATATATATATATATATGTATGTGTGTATGTGTGTGTGTGTGTGTGTGTATATATATATATATATAT